ATAACGCCAAAAAAAAGCGCACCGTTTTAAAAAGTTTCATATTCCCCTCCAGTTTTGCTGCTAAAAGACCAGCCAGGCATTATGATGGCTGTTCGCTTAGCTCGACCCTCCCTTCCAGACGTTTCTACGTGCGGCACAGTTGATCGGGAACAGCAGGAGTTCGGATTCTCGACCTCGAATTGTGTTTTGCGGGCTGTGGTTTCTGACCTCTACAGAACAGACAGGGCCTTGGAAACCATTTTGATGTAATTTCAGCCACCTTTGCCTTCTGCACACTTTGCAAGACATATCGAAGACTTATTTTGGGGCTGTAGCGCCTGGAATACGGACTACTTTCAAAACCCTGGTTAGGAACTGAACAGGGAAAAAAAACCCCACTGGGTCTGTATGTGTGCCTTAAAAAATGTCTAAATGATCCTTCTTTAAATTATAAATGGTAGGGAGACTAAATTACCTATTTCTTGTCATAAGCCTTTAAATATCTGCCAAGGCTTTTTGGACTAGAAAGGGGGGGGGGCAGAGAGGGGGTGTCCTGGGACCAGGCCACATACCTTCCTGCAGGTGTGAACCAGACTAGTATGTGCACAGCCCTTCCACCGTGGACGGGGCGTTAGCACCAGTGTCTTTAAGAGTTGATAAAACATGCAGACAAAAGAACAAAGCTTTTTTTTTTTTTTCTTTCATGAGGAGGGGACTGAAGTGCCCAGAACATAAAGGTCTTCTTAAGGATCTTGAAGGCACATTTCTCTAGCTAGAAAAGTTCAAGAAGTGAACGATTCCTCTCTGTCTTCACCAGGCAACCTAATAGAGCCGACGTGCAGGTCCCACGACACCCGCCCTAGAACTCCCAGTGAAGTGGCTTCACTCCAAGTACTCACACACACTGGAGCCTTAGGAGGGGTCTGAGAACGTGTGTAGAGGCATCGCTCACATCTGAGAATTATACCAAGACGGGCCATCGCAAACTTGTGTCCAGGTCAGAAAGCATATTGAATAGTGATTTTTCCCTTTTTAAACAAACCGTGGCTCAGTGTTATAGCGTGTTTATTTACGTCATTTTGATCACTTTTCACTTGCTTCTCAGAGATGATCAGAAGCAGACCGCCGACAGGAAACCGGGACTGACTTCAGGCCCGTTCCACTTCCTCCCGGCTCCAAAGACTACGACCGCATCGCACCTTTCCCTCCTCCCCAGCCTCTGCGCTGCAGGCGCCACAATTATGTTACAGACCATGTCCACTCACACTTCTGGGGACTCAGGCTTCTAATCAAAGTTCAACCTAAGTCAAAAAGAGTAGAGAGTGTTTCGAAGATCACTTTCAGTGGTTTATAAATAACAACGCAGTGATCAATGCAGAAATTTTACAGGTAACTTCATGATGGGCCAACTACAAAAATTCAGGAATACCACTCGTAAGTTACAAAATGCTACCGCCACAGTCAAAGAAAACTCACCATTAGATGGATAACACATCCTTAGTACAGTGGAATGTTAAGCATTGTATTTGCAAGAACACCCAGGGGACAGAGGTGCCTAAACCATACGGTCATTGGCATAGAGCACAGAATCCTAACACGGCGCGTGAGGTCGTCTTTATGAAAAGGCCCTTTTCTAACATTAATGCTTTGGTGTGTCTTGTACTCTGGTGCTAGCAGAGTTTCATGAATGAGAGGGGTACAGAATAACCCGTGGAGCTTTAAAAAAAACAAAACCCACAAGCTTTATCTATGTAACTGTTAAAACTGAAAAATTATGTAGGCATGAAACAGGACTAAAAAATGACAGAGCCAAAGGTCAAAGAATTTGAATTTTGTACTGGTTTTAAGTAGAAATTTTTTGAGATGGTAAGTAAATTTTTTCTTTCTTGATTTCTGCTAATATGACTTCGTCAATAAATAAGTTAAATGGCATTAAATAAATCAGCGTGGTGAAGGCATAAGAACAAATTGATGAAATCAAACCAAAGACCCTGGTGTAAGAACTTAATACGTAATAAAGCAGACATCACAAACAAGGGTGAAGAGGGATGGGGAAGAGAATTTATTTAACAAGTGATACTGGTGCTACTAGTTACCTATTTGGAAAAAATCCATTGTGATCCTTACTTCATGGCATAAACACACCAAAATAAACTTCATATGGATTAAAAATTTAGTACTATTAAAGCAAAAAACATAGAAAAAGTCATGGTAAATATTTCTGATTTCAGAATGCAAAATGTTTTAATACAGTGCCAGAATTTACAATGAAAAAGGTCAACAGATTAAAGCCATAAAAATTAAACTCCGTAAAAATAAAAAAATACATCAATAAAAAAACAAACCCAAAAAAGTCAGCAACAAACATGACAAAGGGTTAAGATTATTACTATGTAAACAGCACAAACACCAAATAGAAAATAGAATGATCAGTTTACAAATAAAAAACTACTTAGGTTTATCAGCAATTAAAAAATTATCTTACCAAATTATAAAAATTAGTAATACTCAAAGATGACAAAAATGTAAGTTGAATGCTGATTTACTGGGCAGTGTTCGGTGACGAACTTTTTGCAAAGCAATGTGATAATATGCATCTATAACCACCTTCCATTCTTATAGTCTTCGAGCAAGTGGCTCCCTTTTGAAAATCTAAACAAATAGTTGTACATGTGGACGATTTCTGCCCAATTTTATTCAAGAACATTGTTTTCGATACTGAAAACAACTTAAAATGTCCAGTATTAGGGAAACGGTCATGAAAGTATCATCAACATATATGAAAAACATTATGGAAACAAAAATTATATTTACAAAGTATCTGTAATAACATGGAAAGCACTTAGTTAGCTTTAAAAAGGAAATATAAGTCCTTATATGAATTATGAAAATTACTTAAAGATAAAAATGCATAGAAACAACTGCAAGAAAATGTGCCAAAACCTGCAGTGGTTGCCCGTGGCGGTAGCAGCGCGGCTAGTTTGTCCTTTGACAGCTCTCTGTATGTTCTAAATCTTCTACAATGGCCATGTATTATTAATACACCTTGATAACCAGAATAACGAGCACTAAAAATAGAATGTTAAAGAATAAACAAGCACATAATGCTCAACTCTATCTATACAGACACACACAAAGGCATACAATTTATTTGTATTTCCGCCACTAACTCACTGCTATCCAACTCAGGTCTCTACTGCACATTTTACTTCGTAATTCAAAGAAACAACTGGAGTTTCATAGCTCTGTGAAACTAGACTAGCCTAGTCACACTGTATTTGTCTTAAGAGGTCACTGCTGCAGAACACCTGGAAGCTACTTTACCTCCGAGTTTAGTTGGTTACAAAGATTTATCAATTGCTTTCTAGAAAATGTGGAGCACATGTAGCTCCTGTTGCGTGAAGAGCAGGGGCCTGGCACAGGCTTCGGTCCTCAACAGACGAGAAGCCACCCGCTCTCTAAGGACCTGAGAAAACGGCAGCGAGGGCAGCACACACGGTTCCGGGACAAGTTAGAACATGGACGCGGAGTGGTGAGGAGAGAAGGAAGAATGGCCAAACCCACTGAATGCAGGGATTGGAAAGAAGGGAAGCCGTGCAAGACAAAAACAGTAAATATAAACTGAAAAAGGCGAGAAAATTAGCGTGACTCTGAATGACAGGGAGGTTATTGAGCCTTTTTTTTTTTTTTTTTAATGAAGGGGGTGAGACAAACCAGTGTAAGGAGGGAACGGAAGAATAGCCCAGGGGATGCAGCTGTGAATCAAACTGGCTACGAGGTTTTCATTTCTGCAGCCCTGCCAAGAGAGTCACATTCAGAGAAAATGCCAGCACTTGTTACAAACAATATGTGAGAAATTTTGTTTTCTTAATGTTTAACCAACAAGCTCTTGCTATGTTTTTGTGTTTTGAAAAATAAAAAAAGGCTAAGGCATAGACACAAAAACACACCACACACATTTTATCCTATTTTAAGCATCAATGTGTTCAAAACAGAACTTGAGAGTTGATTTAGGTGTTACAAATAAACTTGGGACCATAACACTGATGAGTACTAAAATCCAACATTCTACAGAAAGCAAGAGTCTCTGCCCAAAAGCTAGCTCTCTATTCTGTGAAGACACACAGCCCCGGAACTCCAGGAGGCATGTAAAAGATGAACCTTCAAAGGGAAGTCTGCAGATCTGTTTTGCAGTTTCCAACATCTGACCAATCCAATGAAAAATGCTTCACATGACAACTAGATATGCACATCAGAGCACCAAAAGTTAGTCTTCGTGCTGGTTCAGAGCTGCTCAAACTTGGTACAACCCTGACCATTTCTGGTCTACATCTCACCTGTACTATTACCTACTTAATATCTTCTTCGAATTCACTTGCTTTTTAAAACACTGAAGTAAATACTTTACGTTTGTCCTATGCAGTAGAGAAATCAGCAGTTTAATATGCTACTTATATTTTGAGTACATATTAAAATGCTTAAATACTTAAATAAATGTGTCTCGCCATCTAAAAACATTGTATGTGCCACAAGTGGTAAGGTGTACGACCATTTAGAGAATCCAATCCAATCCCTATTTCTCTAACAAAGTAAATCCTGAAATTGTTCATAAATGTTTAAATTCCAAGCTTTTGTTCCCAAGGCAACTATAAAAAGTCCACATTTTAAAATTTCTAATCACGAAAACTCTCAAGTGCTTGCTTTACTGTAGATATTATATGCTACAAAACATGAAACTTGTAAGAAAAAAAAAATCTGAGTAAACAATAAGATATAGACAGATAGGTAGACAGACAGATACAGATATACAGAGAGTACCAAAAAATGTATACACATTTTAAGAAAGAAAAACTATTAAAATTGTAATACTCTATATATACTGATAACAAAAGATGAATACAAGTCATGTTTGACTTCTGCAATTACAAGAGGTGCTCAAAGTGGTTACTGTCAGCGTCCAGACACTTCTGATTACGGCGAACTACTGCTTGAGCAACACTGACCAAAGTGTCCACCTGTACACATTCTTTTGGCACCTCCAGAATGTGTGAGTGTGTGTGTGTGTTTCACAGGATTTCCTTAAAGGAAGCCAGTCTATAAAATCTTTGACCATGCCACCACTTGATACTTTATCATGCTTTCTTCCAGCTTGCATGCTTACATAATTCTTACATAATCTAACTTCAAACATGTATATTTTCTCTCTCACAGATGTACTTACGGCTTCATGTTTTCTTCCACATCCTTTCCCCCTTCTTTGTATCTCTCATTTCATACAACAGGTGCTTAAGAAATGCTTGTGGAACTGAACAAAATCAATACAAACCAAATCTTATGGCCACAAGAGCCCTTTATTTTAAGTTTTGTATTTTCTTAAAAGTAAGAAGTTTGTCCTTTTGTATACTCTGGGAAATATACAACCATCAGAAGGTGCACATCATAGTGATTTTTCTTATAAGTACTCCAGAACCTGTCACATACAGCATGGGATAGCTTAAAGAGTATAACCTAAAGATTTTGTAATTTCATAAATTAGCTTTTAATAAATTGTACAAAGCATTTATTTTAATAAAAAAGTTTGTTTTTCAAAGACAGGTATTTCACTAGTACCCCCACCAACAAGACTCACATGAAAACAAAATAGAAAGAGAAGAAAAAAATCAAATGAAAGGACGAAAAGAAAAACTGGTTCACAGCATCTGATTTACTTCTGGACTCTCTTTCTGGTTTTTGAACCTTGAAGAGAAAACAAAGAAATTTAAATCATTAATTTACAAAGCAAAAGAAGAACAGAAATATAAGTATTTCTATATATAGTTAATATTTAAAATTTTATTGACCATGACGATTTGTGGAGATGAAATTCACACACCAAGATTTAGCTGTTAATACCGTGAAGATCTTAGGAAATTGTGTCAGTTTTTTGTATGTCAGAAATACGCTAACCAAGCCTAACTCCTAGTCGTAAGTTATATCCGAACACCTCCACTGGTAAAACATGCCCAGTTTACACTGGTCCTGAAATATTTCTCCCAAAAACTTTATTGTACAACTTAAAACATTAAACCTAATATAAACTGTAGCAACAAGGTAAGTATTCATTCCTTGGGGGAAGCAATGAGGTTACGTATATTATGAAAAGCAAGCAATTTTATTCTAAATGTGTTGCCTTTTAAAGCCTGCTGCCTATACTCTAGGCAGGAGAACGCTGGGCTATTCCAAAATGCAGTCTTTTCCACTAGGAATTAAACAGATCCCAACTGAGTATCTTCCAGAAAAGCATCACATCTGATTCTGGTCTACGAGTAAGTACTTACGACAGTTCCTATCCAACTGTTCCTGGGTTGGAATAAATTCAGTGATTCTTTATCAGAGGCATGGGAGTTCTGCGTCACCCAGGAGATGCTGTTCCCAGCCACCACCCCCACTCCACAGAAGAAAATGCTGAATCCTGCCTGACCAGACTGCCTAGTGGTGGCAAAGGTGCCCTCCCACTGCTCGGGCTTTTCAGTGGTGCAGAGAGAGGGCAGCAGGGCTCATAATTAACCCATGAATGCACTAAACAACAAAGAGATCAATACTTCTGCTCTGAAAGACACAAAACATTCTTTAAATCTAGGACAAAATACCTACCACATGTGACTAACAACAGTGACTAAAGGTTTTCAGATCACAGGTTTATTTAGTTACTTAACTGGAAGGTCAATTAAAAAAAATTTTTTTTTCTCCCAAGTCCTAGTTTCTATTCAATTGCACTAAGTTAAAGCAAACTTCAAACATACATGAGTATCTATTTTTTTCTGATACTCATAATGCATAGCCCATAACTATGGTTGATTTGAACTTCTGAGTTTTTTCCTCTCAATTTTTGTGAGATAGCTTTCTTGCCAAAATAGCCCATGGTACATTTCTAGGTTTTTATTTCAAGCAATTGGAAATTAATTTTGCATAGAAAACACAACGTTGTGATCGTCTGAGATTGGCATAAGGGATATCACAAGATCAAGGTCAATAATCAATACTATAGTACATCTCCCTTTCAATACATTTGGAATCTATAGTCAAATGAACACTAAAGTTAACGATTACAACTATATTCAAGTAGCACTGCTATTATTAACATCCTAATTTGACACTTCACTCTTACATTAAGTATCATTGCTGCTTATCCCCTTTCAATCTAGTTTTAAAGTTTTTCACTTGCAACTAAAAATGCTATCAGCACCTGGAATTTATTACATTATCAGTATTATGCAACTTGGACACTTTGCAGCATGTATCGACTCAATATTTTCCAAACAATTCTGATTGCTGCAGAAAAAAATCTACTTTCCTTCTTGTCTCTTTAAAAAATATGTTCATTTTCATAATACGCTACTACTGGTAAAAAGTCCAATTATAAGACTAACGTGTAAAAGTTAATATTTGACAAATAAAAGTTTAGGATACTCTTCTCTGATTTTATTATACAAAGGAAAAAAACAAGTGGCGAAGTTCTTTGTAGGGTGCCCTCAAAAATACCTCTTTCTTAACTAGACTGTAGATACTCAAGAGGTAAACATCAATCATGTTTTCCTCAGAATCCTCAAGAATGGTCCAAAATCCAAGGTACCTCAAAAAACAAAACAAAACAAAAACTCCCACAAGACTAGGTTGTTGAGCACTGTCCGTTTTATGAACAGTAGGGACAAAGTATACTAGCCATAAGTATCATGGCTACATCATTTTTAGTACAATTCTGAAATATTGGTATGGTTTTGAAATGCCAGAATACACATGGTTTTTTACGGCTTATCATTTTGTGGGGAAAAGAAATTACTTGCAGCAAATAACCAAATTTTCTCAATTGGTAAAAATTATGCCTTGCATAAAAATAAAAGGATTAGAGGCCTCTGTTCTTCTTGAAAACCAGCCCGTCACCTCTTCTCTTTCTTTGAGAAAACCTACACAATACACATTTTGAAAGCTTTCACAATGTGTTCTTACACAATAGACCCCCAACTAGTCAAAATGAGTTTAGGTGTATCAAGAAAATTATACACGTTTTTAAAACGGTCTAAATAGATATTAAAGGAAAGCTGCTCTCATTTTGCTAGGCACGGCGTTGTGAAAGAGCCCACAGTGAGAAAAATCTCTTACCATATTGTAAACCATAAATTGTGTTTGAAAATAAAATTGTTAATGAAGAAACTGACATTTCTAAAGCTGCTGCTAGAGGTAACTATTCTTGAAACACGTCTATGACACAAACTCTTAAAGCTCTAAAACACGGAATTTGCTGAACTGTATTACATATTTAAAAAAAAAATTCAAACGCAGTAATGTGCCTTCTTCAAGTTACTTTAAACTAAGAAATACAAATATATACATTTTCATGGCCCCTTGGTTTTTGTTTTTTGTTTTTGCTAGAAGCAATAACATTTTACCATCTCAAGTAATATTTCTCTTCTATGAATAGTTTAGATAGTAAATTACCTTAACTAGCCTTATATTTAGGGGGGAAAATGAATTACAATGGGAAAATAAGACAGCATTTAAGTGCAGCAATTCAGAGTTTATATGAATAAGGGAGAACCTGATTATTCTTTACCTTCTATTTTTATATAAAAAAAAATATCTGGCTTGTTCTCCTTCAATTAGCAATGGGATCTACTGTCTCCTTTTGTCATTACGTAAAATAAAACTACTAATATATTTTCTCGCAGTAAAAACTAACAGCATAAGGACTTTAAGTTAAAATTTTAGGTGTAAAAACTGTTTTTCATAATTAGAGTCAAATGTGAAACCGTTCTGTATCCAAACAAGCGCCTCTGATGCTCCTGAAGCGCCGCGCAGGGAACCTGCAGGCAGTGAGCGCGCGAGTCTTCCTCACGCTCAGCGGAGAAGCGCGCTGGTCTGAACGAGGGCCAACCTCACCAGAACCAGTGGAAGATCTCCCCTAGACTGCAACTGCCAGTTTCAGAACTGAAGGGGCTTTTTAGGTCAGAACAGTACTCCATCTTTATAAATGCTCCTTCATTTTGCTCTCACTCACTGTCGTAGCCGCTGCTGCTAGCCTCTGGCTGAGACACGCTTCCATGCACTGCTCCTTGGAACTCCTCACTTCCTAGTAACAAAATGAACAAGACAGGGGAGGAGGGGGAACAGCAGGCGGCGGCAGGCGGCGCAGGACCGGGGGCCCTTCCACACCTCGGCCTCCGCGGCGACGCTGCTCGCGCCCTCTTCCAACCCCCCAAGTATTCGCTTGGGTCGATTCAGGTCAACTAAGGATGTTCTACCCATATATATAATGAAGGCAATGTTCATAAACCAGGGCGAAGACGAGTCTCTTGTAAGAAAATCGAGGCTTTGCCTTCCACAAACGTGCGCTGCGCCTCTGCCAAAGCAAAGGTGCAATATACCCCTGACCTGACTCCACAGGGCATTTACACTTGAACGAAATTTTTACCGGAAATACGCCTTTTCCAGTAGAAATCAAGCACCAACAAAATAATAAAAGGCAGACAGGAGAGGTATCTGGGAAAGGAAACGGTACTGTAGCCAGCACTGAACCCCTCTTCAGTCACGTCAGTCATCCGTTAAGAAACCTGGGCCACGCGGTGCGCCTACACCACCACAGGCGGGCCGCTTAGAATCAGGCCGCACCACAAACCAGCGGAGTCCTGCCCTTCGCAGACGCTCCCTGCTACTGTCATTTCCGTAAGCACTCCACACCGGAAGTGCCTGCAGATCCAATTTATGAGCCATCAAAAAAACACCTTTATGCCTCGCTTTCTGCTTCAAGAGCTTTGAACAATGATTCGAAGCTTTCAAGCCTTACGTCCAAACTTGATGAGAAAAGAGCTGGCGTTTTGTGGGGAGCGATCGGGCAACTCGGAGAAGTGGACCAGGGCAGCCGTGGTGAGCGCCAAGCGCGCATGCGCCAACCAGCGGCCTCCTGCCGTGCGCTCCCCTCCTGTCACGTGGGTGAGCGCGCGGAAATGGAAGGAGAGGGGCCTGAGAGCTGCGAGTTCTGGGCTCCAGGTCTCACCCTCTCAACGGAAACGCTCGGTGTCTCCGTCCCTAACTGCAAAATGAGGAGCCCCTGTCCCAACTTCATGATCGCTGTGAACAGTAACACAACGTGTGTACAAAAGGCACTGTGACACATGCTACACAAATGAGAGCTTGTCTTACGCTTATTATAAAATCTAAATGCTATGACCCCAATAGTTAATCCCTTATTTAGTGAAAGGAAAGGCAATCCTTGTTTACATATGGAAAAGGCTAATGGACAAAACTCGCAACTTACGGGTTTGTACACCTGCTTCTGTCTGTGCATCGTCAGAGCATTCCATGGCTTCAACACTGGATTCTGTGCTTTTCTCAGTTTCTCTCTTTCGCTTCTTCCATATAAAAATTAAAAGAGAGAGAGAGAGAGAGAGATGTGGTCTGATGGTCCAATAAGTAAACAAACTTACCATATACTGGTATACACATGAATCTTTACAGGCGTGGGTGTGAAGACATACAGGAAAAACAGAGCAGTCCCCCGTTATCTGAGGGGGACACAGGCTCAAGACCCCCCCACTGGACACCTGAAACCGTGGATAGTACTGCATGCACATAGTGTACTGTTTCTTCCTCTACTCGGACACACGTAACTTTCTACTTAAAGGAAGCATTTCCCGGCTTCTCGCCAGCGTATCCGAATCGCCAGCATCACTCACTGCTCCTGCGCCTTGGGGCCACTATAAGTAAAATAAAGGTGACACGAACACAAGCACAGTGGTACTGTGAGAGTTGATATGATAACCCAGACAAATCCTAAGTGACCGCGGGGCAGGTGGTGGATACGCTGGACAATGGGGTGGTTCACGTGTCAGGGCGGGGTGGCTCGAGATTTCAGCATGCTGCTCAGAACAGTGCACAATTTAAAACTTATGAATCGTTTACTTCTGAAATTTCCCATTTAATATTGGGTTGTTGGAAAAGACATGACATATTTTGCCTATGTTTTTCGTTGCAAAGATGCATCATGACTTTTCCAACAACCCAGTATTTTCTGACCACGGTTGACTGCAGGTAACTGACACCGAGAAATGCGAATAAGGGGGACAGTGGTCGCCTAAGGGAAGGGATGGGGGGTGGAAGAAAATGAGATTACAAGAACCATCATCTACAGAGTCAGTCTGCATGGTGGGTACATGTGTTACATCCACCTCTAACTTTTTATGCTTCATACAGTTCACCACTGACAGCCATGTTTTAAGCGTCACGGCTGACTATACAGAAAGAAACTCTCTTTTAAAGCAAAGTGTTTTATAAACTTGGTATCACCACTCACTGAGGCCAATGATACTTACTGTCCCCATTTTATCATGTATGTCTTGATAAGTGAGAAAATATACACCTTGCCCCACATATTATATCAGTGGTTATACGCTATAAATTGGTGATAAAATTCTATTCATGAATCAATAATGGCAAACTTCCAACAAATGTTTTCTTTTGATATATTTTTATTAAAAGTATAAGAGGACCATAAACCTTACTGTAAAGGACGAGTCTGAAGTACATAGCTCTCCTAAAATCTCACAAAACAGGCCAGATTTTCCACCCTTCTCTCAGGCTTTTCCTATTTTCTATTTGTTTTTTCAGTTGAGTGTTACTTAGGAGTTATTTTTGTATTCTGTCACCATCCATTCTTCCCAAATGTTCATTCAATTTCTTTTTATTATTTTCTATCACTACAACATTTTCTAACCACTTCATTCCTGTGTAAAGTTTTTAAATTACTTAACATCACCATATGTAGGTATAACTAGAAGGACTTTAGTAATAAATTTAAAACTTTGTATTTTTCATAGAACTTTATCCCATGGAGTCTCAAATTTAAATGTGTTAAAATGCAAATTATAACTCAAAGCTTCTCTAGCTTGTCTAAAATAAGTCTGTATCATTTAGGAAATCATCTGATACTTCCCAAATTTCACAGATTCACAATGCATGAGAATGTCCTCATTTTTATTTCCTAACAATTAATCTTAAACTTCATCTGAGAATGTTCCTAGCTTCGGGCCATTGTGTGTACAGCTGCAGAGTGTAATACCTGCTGACAGCAGTGTCCTTTTTCCTAATGGCAACCATGGCTTCTGTTCCAAAGAGAACTATGCGGGAAAGCCCGACTCTATTCAAGCCACATTATCTTGAAACCTCCAAATGGTCACAACTGTCATTATCTATGTATTACAATTAATTCCACTGTTGGAAAATATTCTTAAGGTGGCTATGGAAAGATCAGAACTCAGAGATACCCACCATATTCCTAAAGAAAATGCTTCACACATACAAAAATAACAACTTGACTAAAGCTTAGGAAACTTTAAAAGCATCCACTTCAATTTGTATATGGCGGTATTCCTTCTCAAAAATAGCTATAAGAGTGGCTGTAACTTCACATAACTGAGGAGAGAAGGGGAGAGTGCCTCACATCTTTCTTTTCCGAAGTGTTGCTTCACGATTACCATCTAAACCCTGCTGGGCTGAACAGATTGGTTCGATAATTACATACAATAACTGCAGTGGGCAGGTAACCCTCAGCTGGCACAGGGCAGCTCCCCCGTGAGAACTTCCATATGCAAACTGCACTGATGGACTGTGCATTAGGTACATCCCTCCTGCCGCTGCGCAGGCCTGATTAACGCCAGCCAAGGCTCCAAGGTTAGCATGTCAGCAGATCCGTGATGCATTAGGCAGGAATAAACACAGACACTTTTGTTCGTTCGGACCAAAATTAAGGAGGAATATTTCAGGACTATACTGCTTTCCACACAGGAGAAAATGCATTTTACAGTTTTAGAAGGGCAGATTTCTAACTGCTCATTATAAGGGAGCTATCCAATACATTCTACACAAGAACCTAGTACATTCATCTTGTTTTCAAGCTTATTTAATAAAAAGGAGCTTTCTTAATCTCCATGCAGGTAAATTACATAGGAATGAAAATCAGACAGTATTCAACCAACAGAAGGAACACCTGTGTTTTAAGGAGTATGCATTAGGTAAAGCACTGAATTTCATTAATCCACACTTCAGCTGGGTGTCTCCACTCAACTCTTCTGACAATGTATGTGGTTTGGACAGAAAGGGCCAACAGTCTACACACTAAGGCCAATTTTCTAAAAAAAACAAAACCTTCAAGTTTAATGGTATCTAAGTACAAACTGCCAGTTATAAAAACCATCGAGAGGATGTAAAGTACAGCACAGGGAATACAGTCAATGATATTGTTATAACTGTGTACAGTCAGGTGGGTACTAGACTTACTGGGGAGATCACTTCGTAAGTTGTAAAAATGGCTAATTACTATGCTATACACCTAAAACTAATATAATATTGTATGTCAGCTGTAACTGAAAGACAAATTTTTTTTTAAAAGGAACAGAATTGTGACTCACGCTACAACATGATGAGCTCGAGGACGACGTGCTCAGGGAAATAAGCCAAATACCGTACGATTCCCCTTCTATGAGGGGCCTAGAATAATCAAACTCAGAGACGGAACGTACAATGGCGCTGCCAGGAGCTGGAGGCTGGGTGGGTGCAGGGGACAGGGAGTTAAGTGTTTAATGGATACGTTTTTGTTTCACAAGAAGAGTTCTAGGGATGGATGGAGGTGACAGGTGCACAAGTAAATGTACTTAATACCACCGAATTGTGTACTTAAAATATGGTTAAGAAGTTAAATTTTGTTATGCGTATTTTACAATTAAAAAAACACTATCTAAGTATGTTACTCATTTGATAAGGCAATGAGTAAAATTCCAAATACTCTGCTGCCAGCTTCTCTCTCCTGATTATCTCCAAATGCTTCATTCTGTTATTTGTCAACATCTTAAACTTCGGACAGTGTGTGCAGTTGTCCCTGGTTCCAGCACTGTCCCACCTGGATTCCCAAACCAGAGGACACTACAGTCCCTCAAGTAAAATGGTGTGGTATTTGTGCATAACCTGTATGCGTGTTTGCAGATAGGCCACCGCGGGCTCTGCCTACACACCAATGCATGTGCATGTACTCAGCACATGGCAAATTCAAGTTTTGCTTTTTGGAACTTAATGGGATTTTTTTTCCAGAGAATTTTTTACCCAAAGTTAGTTAGATCTGTGGGAAGGAAACCCTCAGATATGGAGGGCTGACTGTATTTCTGTTCTCTTTGAACAGAAACGACTGTACAAAGTGACTAGTCTAACCTCTGATTGTCATGTTCCATACCAGCTTTCACAGGTACGCAAGTAAATGCCTTTACTTGCATTTATAAATGAAACCAAAATATTGTACGACACACAGCAATAACTTAAAAATTTAAAAAGTTTTCTTTTAATTCAGCATGGCTAAATATCTTCAAAAAATTAGGTTTGTTTTAAAGGGTATTAGCATATATATATATTACACATTGTACTTTTGAAGTGCTGAAATACACTAGGCTAAAATTTAGTTAATTAGCAGCTTCTCACCTCCAATTTGGAAACAGGAAGACAAATCAGCTAGATGCATTTGGACTGATAATTTACTAATAGTCTAAACACTGATTGAAGAACAGTTATACTTAAAGCTGTTTTAATGGAGAAGAGTATAAAAATCTTCAAAGCAAAAAACCAAAGACCAATTCTTTGCTTCCCAAGTCAAACAACAAAACATCACCTCTAGATGCTTTCAACAGCCTCTATGAAAAGCCAATTAGATTCATGGCTGTAAGAAGAGATCAGTACTCAGGCTGTTGTTGGGTTTTTCCCTTTATTACAAAAGCCATAAATGTTCACTGGAGACACTTAGAATACACACCCTAAAATTTTTAAATGTTTGGTGTTGCACATGTGTCAACAAAGAATTCCAAATAGAAATATGTGACTGCACTAAACAGTTAATCTTATTTCATTTATTTGACTAAAGCCACTTGAAATCACCAAGCAAAGTATACACTTTATAAATTACAATTACATTCCTTAATAGTAACCAAAAATAGGATATCTGTCAGTCAATAGCAATTAAAAAAAAAAAAAAAGAGGCTACGTGTATCTTCTATGAAGGTAAGCCAAATACAGGTGTTACACCATAATAACTAAAACCAGCGGATTTTAGTTAAAATTCACTGTATAGATAGAGCTGAGGCCGGCACAGAAGAGCCAAAAGAATTCGCGCACGGCCTCTCCGCTGGCGGCGGTGAAAACACCAGCACTCAGCGCCGTGCTTCCTACGGTCTCCTTCCGCAGAGCCCCTGCCGTGGCTCTCCATGCGAAGCCGCGGTTTCCGGCGGTGCTTTCCCTGGGATGCGGCCCTTCCTAAGGAGCGATGGCGCACGTGTGTGCTTGGTGGGGCCCACGTCCACACGTGTCTCTACTTCCC